TTTAAAGTACCCTATAAGTACCCCTCTGAACAATTATAATTGTAACAGCTCTGAAGATGCGTAAATTCGTGGTTCAGGCATAGCGGTAGTAGGTGTAAGAAGGAAAAAAAAGATCATTCATTCAGTGATTATTCTATTATATCAGTGGTGCACACGGGAGTCTCCGGGAGCTGGCTTTACATACAAGTCGTGTGTGCGCAGCTACCGAACTTATGCGTCGCTAGCAGCCGGTCAGTTTGCGTTTGTACTTCATGCTGTAAGCTAGGGATGGGTAGTGGGGTGTTAAAATTCGATTTTTTCCGAATTTCGAACATTGCCCAACCATTCGATAGTTCGATTCGAAATTCGGTGGTGAAAATTTGATTTAATTCGAATTTTTTCGAATTTCGCAAAATTTTTTGAAGTGAAACTTCTTAATAGAGTTCGGAGATGTTTGCGTTAAATATTTAACACCCAGTCATAAAATCTGTATCGTTCGTTGGATTTTCAAAAAGGGGGTAGGTGTCAAATGAAAGGGCTTGCCCTGTAATCCCTGGGTAAAAATCGTTGGGATTATTATTATTATTATTAGATGTGTAACATGGTTTTAGTTTTGTTCCATATGTAAGAAAATCAAAATCAAATTATTTAAATAATAAGTTAAATATATTACTCCAATATGGGTTTCAAATGGTTTTGAATAAACTTTCTTTTTTAATTACATTTGGGAGGGTTGCCACCTGTTTGAAAAGTCGAATTTATTTAAAGAAGTGTTGTACTTAAAATACTATGCAACAATTTAAATATTTTTAAGGTGCTTGCCGAGAGTGGCCACCTGTTTAAAAAGTTAAACTCAAATTACACTGTGCAACAGCCGAAACCAGCCCGGACTTTGATAACATTTTCTGAATGTATACCCATTAAGTAGTAAAACGCGCGATGGATTTGCAAAAGTTACCTCGTATTTTTATTTTATGGCCTACTAAAGTTTTCATATCTCGGCCTAAGTAATAATAATAATAGATTGGCGCTTACACATACGTTAGTGTTTGGCCGAGCTTCTCCTCCGATTTGTGGCGTGCGCCTTGATGTTGTCACACAATTAGGAGGGACCTACAGTTTTACGTCGACTCCGAACGGCGATTGTATTTTTATGAGAAGCTATTTTTCATGGTAGAAATACACTCGGAGGTTTGCCATTGCCTGCCGAGGGACGACCGCTATGAAGAAAAAACCTTTTTTTCTCGGCCTAAGTAGTTTTCACAAAGTCGAAAAAATAGTTAAAATAAATGCGAAATTAAAGGTTAAAACATATATATTAAAGTTTCTTGGAAAATATTTTCGAATAACATTTGAACCCATTAGCTCCAGCTTGAAACGGTAATTTTTGACACTTCAGGAAATCTCGCAAAAAGCAAATTTGGCAGAACGTTACTGGATTGATTTATTGTAAAAAATTATTCTCCGGAAAATTTTACTAGGGGTCTTCTCAGGCAAAAGCTTCATGCTGCCAACGTAAAAGCCTCTAAAAATTTAAAATAAAAAATCAACTAAAAAAAAGAAACTAGTCTTTTATAAAAAAAAATTTTAAAATAGAGTTTGGAATAACAGTTCCTTCTTTGCACAGATTTTTTGTTTTTATGCATCAGATCGAAAAACATGTATTCTTTTATTTGAATCCTTAAGACAAATGGAGTTCTACACACAGTGATTGCAAATTTAGTCAGAAAGAAGAAAGTTTAAGACTTGATTTTTTGCAAATAAAGATGAAATTCGATTTTTTCTGGAAAAATTCGATTTTATCCGAATTTTAGCAACACAAAGTTCGATTTCAAAAATTCTTCATTTCGGAGCTAAAATTCGATTAAAACTCGAATATCGAAGCTTCGAATATCGAATTTACCCATCCCTACTGTAAGCATCACATGCGCGAGCTGTTTTGCTGGGTACACACATACTGATACAAAACAAGTAAGAAAGTCTAAGTTCGGGCGGAGCCGAACATTAAATACCCGGTGCTAGTATTTAATATATGACTTTCACCTTTCCGAAAGCTACCGCTACATGGCAAGCCGGGGTGTATCAATTTTGAGTAAATTAACGTCCTTAAATTTCCAAATATTGAAGTTTCAAGCATTTCTGAAATTTACCGTTATATGAAAAGCGGCCTCAATTTTAGTCCGATTTCAATAATTTTCGATGTTTTGCTTATATGTGGTTACCGAGATACATATATGTGATCATAAGTGGGCGGTGCCACTCCCATTTTCCAAAATTTTATCATAAACGTATTTCTTGGTTAAGAATTGTTCCAAGCATAAATTTTGAATAAATTAGCTTTTATATTTACTGATTTATCGAAGATTTTATATTTCTCTAAATTACCGTTATATGGGATGTGGGCGTGGTTATTGTCCGATTTAAAAAATTGTCGGCCATTTGGTATGGTGTACCAAGGCCAAGAACTGTGCCAAGTTTGGGAGAAATTGGTGCAGCGGTTACCAAGATATACACATGTAACCATCGCAGTTTTCGTATTTCTGGAAATTACCGTTATATGGAAAGTGGGTGTGGTTACAGTCCGATTTCGCCCATTTTCAATACAAACCGACCTTGGATTAACCGAATATTGAGATATTTAAATTTTTGCTCGAGTTATCGTGTACACGGACGGACGGACAGACGGACAGACAGACATGGCTTAATCGATTTCTCTATTCATTCTGAGCATTTATGTATACATTTGTCTATATCTATCTCGATTCGTTTTGGCTGTTACAAACAACCGTTATGTGAACAAAATTAATATACCCTTGTGCACAAGTGCGCTCGGGTATAAAAATTGCGCTTGTGTTGGGAGCTCTGCCAACGCTGTGCACCACTGTATTATATACATACATATATATATAACAGCCTTTCCAACGTCCGACCATCTCATCAGGATCGGGAGAATGACATGTAAGTGCTCTTATTTTCTTTTTCTCTTAAATATGTATTGATAGACTTTTCGCTCATCCGTCAGCAAGAACGATAGAATACAAGATTGCGCATTCCCGCAGAATGACATTTGTGGCAACGGGTAAACAAAGAATATGTGTTTTCTTCTCGATTCACCAATTTCTCAAGCGATCTTTGAATATAGCAAATTAAGCACAACGTTAACAAAAAATATACAACCACTCTTGAAATGCGTTCAAAAGAATAGGTCTTATTAATTGCCAATTTCGAATTTTTATGTTTGTATTGCAGGTGCCGAAAAAGTGATAACATCTTGTCGCAGCGCATATTTTCCTGCAGAAAGTGGTCGATGCTTGCTTACCTCCGATTTCAGTTTGTAATTTGTGGTATTTCAACGTTTTCAACTTAACATGTCGTGTTTAAAAGTGGTCCGTAAAGTGCTTCATGCATATTACGCTCGTGTCTAAATTGTATGGCTTCTCCTGCCGGCAGAACTCTACCCACTTTCTGGCCAAGGCGTCGTCGCGGGGAAACAAAAAAAACTGCATTTGGGGGCTTTACCCCTACGGCTGCTGCAATTCAACACACGACACGACATTTTTTTAAAGTTTTTTTTTACAAATAAAACGTTCTTTACTTCAGAACGCACGAATTACTTCGATTTTTCACTTGAAAGTATGTATGTTTGCAATACGTTTGGACTTGTTTCTAAACAAAAAGTTTGTTTACGTATTGCCATAAATGTCAAAGTCGGCAAAACCAAAGTAGCGGTTTCGGAAATGCGCCACCTTCAGTTCATTTCACCGAATTCCGAGTTCATTTTCACAGAATAATCTAGAATAAATATATTTTTTGAATATTTTTCGGTTTTTGTGTTTTTAGTGCCTTTTTTTGCCTTTTTTTGATTTCATTATTTTGTTTTGCCTTTTCTGTCCCACGTCGTGATTTTATTTTGCCTTTTTTATAGATTTTTAGGTCATGAAAATCCGTTCCCTGCTTATAAGACTTTTAGCAGTACTTGTTGAAGGTCCATCAATGTTGCTTGATCTACTACTTAACCGTTTAGAGCCTGAAGCTAAGACTTAGAGCTATTTCAACAATATAAGAGTGCGCTCTCTGCCCATGTACACATTTGCATTCGGAAAACATTCTTATCATTTGATGCGAATGCGATGTGTAAAATGATACGAATCATTCGCATAACGAATGCGAATGCAAATATTCGCAAGATCCCTGGTACGTACATATAGTTTTCATGCTGACCACCCTACCAGATTCATTGTTCCTAAATTTTTGGTTGCTAAATGTATTAATATTTTTTTTATTGATAATTGTTATTATGATAATTAATTCATAACTAAGGATTGATTCCCTTGCAATTGTAATAATTATTATAAATAAATTTACTGAACTGTAGCTTGTGAAATGAAAACACGAGCTAAATTTTCTTAGTCGTGAGATGACCTAAGCCTTAGACTTGAAGGTATGGTTGGGATGGTGATGCATAAAGTATCTCTTCATGGTTGTGCAGGGAAGAGCAGGGGAAGGCAGCGCTGGTCAAGAGGAATCCTCTCCGTTTGCGTCTGTCTGCGAATTTTAAGGGATTTCTGTTATATTAAATATGGGATAGTTTATTGTGGTCCGGTAATAATCTTTAAGTGCATAATTTTTTTTTTTTGTGTAGTCAGGACATCTTCACCCGACGAGCTGAGTACCAGAATAATACTAGCATGCACAGCCGTTCTCTTTTGATATACTGATATACCTCCGCATGACTTCACAACACGGACAGGCGGACGGACAGACAGTCACGGCTTAATCGATTTGTCTTTTGATTCTGAGCATTTTTGTATACCTTTGTCTATATCTATCTCGATTTGTTTTGCCTGCTTTTCATACTTGCAAAATACAACTTTAGCTAAGGGAGTTTCAAAACGCCTCGGCACAACGTACAGCACCTCATATAATTGCATTATGTTAGTTTGCAACGTTTCTATCATGGCACAGAGTGCAGATTATTTGAAGGAAGCATTGGTACTCCTACATTTATTCAAATAGTTTACCTGATGTGTGGAGGAGTAGCTCGAGTTCTGATGCGTTGTTGTTGAAGAACTGTCGTACTGATTTGAGGAGGAGCCGGAAGTGAATCGACGTACCGTGTTAATGGGCGGTGGTGCTGGCTTCAATGGATGCTCTATATATTTGCGATCTATTCAAACAGAGAAATCAGAAATATTATTAAAATAATATAATAAATGTGAAGTATCGTGGAATTCGGCTATCATCTGCGAGCATTATATTTGTATGCACCTTGCTTTGAATTTGTTGGATTATCGACGTTCTCCTTGTTAAAACATATATTTTAAATAAGGTTGCATTTATTCATAACTGATAGATAGATCGGCATGCAGTTCGGAGTAAATGATCTACTATGAGGTTGTTCACGCTTGCCTGGTTATCAGCTTATGTGGTTACGTGGTTATATTTTTTATTCAGCTTACAATAATAAAATACACTACACAATAATAATTTTTAACCAGATAACCTGATACCCAAGCAAGCGAAAACAACCTCTATATAATTATTGCTACATTCGTAGTTATTTTTCATTCCAACGTTGGCTTGTGATTTTAGTAGAGAGCAAGACGCAGTTTTTGGCGAATTGATTAGTTCAAAGAAGTTGTGTATACAAAAATGATTAAAGTATGAATTGTTGTTGTAGGAAAAATGTTCAAGAGAGGTAATATATTTTATATAAGCGTTTTGGTTAAAACTATATCGGTATATGCATATGTATTGTTTGTCAGATATTTTACAAAGTTTGATTGGAAAATATAAGTATGTACATATAATACATAAGTGCAATTATTGAGTTATTGGCGAGTTGAATAACTGAAATGAATAACATATTTTACGGAAAATTTCCTCAATATTCTAATCTATTTTGAATAGGTGCAGGATGCAAACAAATTTATAATTTGGTGAACGGGGAACCATCTGCACTGGCTACATATTTTGTTTAATAATAAAAGTATCATGTCAAAATGCAACATTCCTGTCTAAGGAGTATTTGCTTTCGCAGATGTGCTTAAAAGTACGGGCAGAGGTTATAAGGTAAAAGATCCGAGGGTAAGCGTTTGAAGTAATTTGAGTATTCTTTTTAGTACGTATTTAAAAAATGTATAACTCAAAAGAAGAAACAAAAAAGTTTTAATGCAACCAAATAACAATAAATATAATAGAGGACTAAAATTTTAATGAATATATTACAAAAGAATTTTAAAAACATTATTTACAGAGAAGTTAAGAATTTCATATTTTACCTCCAGAATGCAGTATACTGTGAGCAAGTTCAGCCTGCTCAGGTGTTACCCATTCTCCTATGAAAAAATTCCATTTAATATTTTATATACATAGAGTAGAGCTATCATATACATATGTAGAATAGACCGTTCGTTAAAATTAAAATTTGGTTTGCCGGGCGGAAAAAGATGTGTTTTGGTCTAAAAATAAGCTGTGCAAAATTTTATTCGAATATGATAACTCTAAAGCTGATGCCAGATAAAACTTTGTAGCTTTGCGTGAGATTTATAACTTTGCCAGCAAAGCGCCAGACGCAAAAGGTATGCCACAATGAACGCCAAGAAATCAATTTTGCACTGCTTTTTTACTCGTCAAAATTGCTGTGGATTTTAAATATTTTGCTTTAAAATTATCAGCAATGTAATTGAGTTTTATGTTTCTGCATGAATACTCGAATTTGGACGAAACAAAATAAATACTAAACCGGCTGATTGTCAAAGCGCGCAAAAAGATGGGAGTTGGCCATCTTTTCGCTTCGCGCTGCAGCTTCAATGAACTATGTGGCATGCTTTGTGCATTTTCATACAATTCATCTTAGCTGTCAAAGCGAATCTGTCACGTAAAGCGAAGCAAACGTTTTATGTGGCATCAGCTTAAGTACTTGCGCGTTGCATTTGAAAATTTAGAAAACCATATGCATTCTGAGAAAAAAATTTGTAACAAAATAGTTGAAAGCCGTGAATTTTATAGTCATTTGCTATGTAAAATAACTCACACAATCTGAATATGAGGTCAAAAATTAAAAAAATAGAATAGGTTTTAAGAATTTGCGAAATTATCGTTTTTTT